AGCAGGTTACTCGCTGTCGAGTTGCTGCACTTTTACGTACATACTGTCTATTCTTAGTATCGATCACCTTGGTGATATAAGCGGAATATCATTCACTCTTTGACTGAACGCTTCTATTATCAACACGAGATATCGGATGTTGCTCCTCCTGACTATACATCATATCCGGATCGCCGTAAACAATTAGACAAGCTTATGCACAAATTCTCGCTGGCAATTTAGTCGAAAGACTATCGCAGCTGTGATAAAGAAGTGTGTCGATTGATCAAAACACGACTATCTTGGAGTATCCAGCTATCCTGGATAGGCAATCTTGCCAGTAAATATCTTTGGAACAAACCCTCGTAACCAAATACTGATGGTGCGAACCTGGAAGACCAACTCACCCATACTCCGGGTTAATCTGTTATTGGGATGTGTCGATTTCTTTACAAGTTCATACAACTGAGGTGTCTGATGTTACGTAACTACTTTCTGGATCGAATTTAGTTGACGTTAATGCTTACTGTTCCCTACTCACTTCGTTTAATTGGCCAGGTGGGAGTTCATACATGGACTGAGTCATCCTCATCATCTCACGTGATAGAATGACATTAGGTTGAAAGTAACACTCCTTAATATCGAGCCTTATTCTTTTATCTAACTCTTGGTAGGAGAAACATGACTCATCAGTCTGCCCTCCATAGTCCAATGGGTTGTGAACTTCAGGCACTTGCCACCCAGTTTATGAAGCTAGTGTTGAGTGAAGTATTAACCTTTTAAATGGGAGGTATTCTGCTAGGGTCACGTGATCGCTGACTATCGGCAGGTAGCCAACGCTAATGATAACAAATTGCTTCACTAACTGTAATTCAAAGGATACTCATTGAAGACACACGTGGTAAGCTGTAAACTACATCTTCTTGCCAGCCAAGCTGGTTGATGCTAACTGTCTCCGTCCACTATTATTTAGTCGGTAACCTTCATATAACCTGTTATTCAGAAAACTGATTTATTCAATTGGACGAGGCATTCGAAAGTCGTGTCCCAGTCGTCCAAGCTACTCCGTTGAGAATGGTGTTCACAACTTCCCGAACAAAGGACGCTAGTGGCATAAGGATAGTTTGTTCACTGAACTGAAGCAAGTGACGCAACAAACACCGACACTCATTTTCTACGTGCCAATAAGCTCAGAATAAAAAGTGTGTCAGCAATAACTTCATGCATCAAAAACACTGTTTATGCTGTGGCTGCTGTTCAATGTTTTTTTTACGACTATTCAATTTACTTTGACAATTTAGTAAACCAATTTGTTGTACCACTCTCAAGTAGTATAGTTTGAGCATTCATCTGTATTGCATTAAGACTGATGGTCCAATTAAGATGAAGTGCGCGGCTGGTAACATTAGGCTGGTTAGTCGCTTTAAAGTCACGCCATCTCATTCTGTGTTTGAATTCAGATGATATCGAATAAGAACTCGGGGGATGCACTGTGTTCCAGCGCGTGCCTCGTGAATAATGAAATGTAACGACCAGATATAATTGATTACACCAATATATTTTAGCCCTCAGTTAATTGATAGACTTACGTGTACATTAAATAAAAACTCAGACTACTGATTACAATTCAGAAAAGATAAAACGCTCCGTAACATGTATACCTCAAACTCCGGAGGACCACCATTTCATTTGGGGGAATATTCATGTCTACACTACAATGAAGTAGAGGACAAACAGTTGTGAATCATAAAGACCCGTTAGGCTATGATCATGTTCCAGGCCAACAAATAACAAAATGAGATTAGATGACGTTTCAAAACACCAACAAGAAATCATGGATAATCATTCACTTTCCTGTGACGATTAACTGTTCCACTCACAAGTTAAAATCGATCGATAAATTGTGGTTAGTTTAAAAACTAAGAAATACCTACAGTGAACTCAGAGGGGTTTGAGTGAGTATTTTCTGCAAGCCAATGGTTTCAGAGACCATCTGTGAGATGTCTGTATGTGTACAGGTATATAAGCTTTTCGTTTAATAAACCATGAGATAAAAACACTTCAAGTGCAGTGTAACAACAGTTTTTTAATGCAGTGCATTGTAGAGTGCTTTCCAAAAACATGGTCTTGCAAGTAAATAAAATGGAATGTGTGCTATGAACCAAATTAGCCGGACTTTTTACAAATTATACAATAATTTTATATATGCATCTTTACTTCTTATGTGAGATTATTTAGGTAATCTTTCGAAAGTTGGAAGTCGCACGTACATCCAGCGATACACTTACAGAGATCGTCAGTCATGAGGTGGTTGTGACAGTATTCGATCTCGAGGAATAAATTCCTTTAAGCTACTTCACAAAATGATTGTTAGACAGGACACTTAAAAACATTCCAACCTGGTTTTACTACAATTGTTTCAAATCCGAACAAATAAGAATCAACCGCTGTAGAAGCATGTACATTTTACTAACGGAGAGAAGCAGTAAGGTAGAATTCATTGGATTTGTTTGAAATACTTAAAATAATAACAATAATGATATATTGATACTTCACTTCCGAATCCTGTGTGGCAATCCTTAATTTAGTAGACTAACTTCAGACCCTAGTACATAGGTTTGACTATCGATTAAATAGTCCTGAAAAGTTCTCAGTTTGGTTTTAACTCAGACTATACATATGCAACTTGGAAACTTCAAATGTAGGTACGCTTTGTCCGAGTACGGTTTGTCCATGCTGCGTTGCCTTATTGAAAAATGATAGTTTAATACAGTTTCCTTTCTAGCATGGTGGTTTAAGCTGTCCGAGATTACAAGTCCACAGGATATAGCTCTTGAAAATGCACCCCAAGTGAGCGATAACTATCCACTGTCAAGTTATTTCGTCCAATCAGTGGTAATGCCAAAATTAAGTTCGGGCGTCCGGTTCAACTGAACTGTTTATTTTTCACTGCCAAATATGCATGCGGATAACAGTCTTGAAAACGCACCCCAAGCGAACACTGACCAGCCATTTTCAAATCATTTCCTCCAAACAGTGGTAATGCCAACATTAAGTTCGGGCGACCAGTTTAACTGAACGGATTATTTTCCCATGCTAAATATACATACCGATAACAGTGTGCCACCAATGATTACAAAAACCTGACGTATCAGCCATTTCAAAAGTTGGTGGATATGATGGTTACTCTTGTAAATCAGTAGAAAAGTTGCTTACTGTTCCCCTTGAACATCTGTCAAAATTTCCAGTCTAAACGTCGACTTGTTTTCTTTAGAACCTATGATTCCGTTGGTCATCAAACCGATGTTTGGAATTTTATCTCGTTCCGATGGATCTGTTAGAGATCCCCTGTCGTCAGCATTTTACCTAATGCACTCCAATGAGATGTACAGGACGTTGTTGCCCGTAAATTAACTGTGTGATCTACAGTGGGCCCAGACTTATCTGTACATATCTAAAAGCCCTCTCAAACTAGCCGAAAAGCCCCACTGTGATTATTGGTCACTTCGACTGGATCATTACTCACCGCATGCGCTTTATTTCTTCCACTTACGGCATGCAACCATTCAACGTCGACCAAGCTATATTCTTCGTCAATTCAGGTTTATGTGAGTGAAAAAATGGCGTGTTTAAGGGAGCCATAGGCGCAAAACGTAGAACAACCACTTCTGTAATTTTGTTTCGGCTAATTTTGATATGTCAGTACCATAGTAAAAATAGTAAATCTATGACTAAATACTTTAAGTCATGCTGACCAAAGTATATTTGGGGGTAGTGCTGTAGCCGAGATATTGAAAGAATGAACTGGAAATTTTCTATCTATAGCTTGTTAAGATATGCATAATAAACGTAACAATAAGGCTATGCTTAAACGGTAGTGTAAATGTAAGTAAATTTTGTGATGAACCTATACGGATGTCTCGTATTTCATGATATTCTTCCCATTACCGTGCGGAGTATGAGCATTTTTCACAGTCAAACAGATCTTTTCAGAAAGGCAGAGGCTGAATTTTGTTCGAATGTCCTTGTTGTAAAATGAATTAGGCAGAAAATTTAATAGATTGCTTCTACAAAACTAACAGGCCATTCCGGTCTGCTATGTGACCATTTAGTTAAAATGTTGACCTACAGTTGATCTGTTATCCTGATAGTCAGACGTGTCATCGTTCAAAGAGGACTTCATTTGCCAGGATACGTATTCAGTCGTCAGTGTGTGTGTGTATGTGACTTCTTCGTCAGTTGGCTTTCTGACCAGCACTACATTTCATGTTAGTCGAAAATTCACCTCTCACAGTGCAGAAAGCTTTTGATTGACCTGAGTGACTGACCTTCCGCACCATTCTGTAAGAATGTGAACCGACTATTAGATGAAGGTGAACACGTAAAATATTACTCAAACATTGCAAAGACCTAAAGATAATCCGGTGAAACGCTTGGGAGAACCGATAGACATAACGACGAAGTGAACATTATACTGAGTGATATTTGATATAGGAGAATAAATGACAAAAGTATTTCAGAAGTACTATTCATTTTATAGGCATGTGGAGGTAGATACAGCACTACACGTCAGCTTGGATGGTATTGTTTGTAAAAGGCTGTCACTTTACACTTGTTACCGATGCAAGACTCTAGATTAGGATGCGGCTAGATTTTCTTGTCATAGTATGCCCAAGTTCAAATTACAGGACCGACTTCTTTGTGATTTTTACTGTTGTGTTCTGCCATACAAAAGATGCTGCTCAGCAAACGTCAGTCATAAATGCATGACGTAGGGAAGTAGCTGTCGTCGATTAGTGCAATGAACTCTGGCCATCTTTACTTGAAATCAATGTCACCAGTTTCAATAACCAGACAAGCATGGTCAGCACACACGGCTTTTTTAATTTGCCAAAATATGCAGAGTATTTTGTGTATTACTACAAATAATATTTTTACCACAACGTATTCGGATACTACTATGTTTCTAATAAGTTGTTTGGCAGATTTATAATTTCGGATGACCCAGCTGTGAAAAGTCACGGCTTCAGCTGGATTCGAACCAGCAACAGAAACACCGTGCCCAAAAGCAGCATGCGTCCTACCAGCTGAGCTACGAAGCCACACCAGAAGCTCAGAAATTTCACATTTAGATTCGGTTACACACTCGTTCCCCTGTCTATTACTGTATTTTACAAAGCGAAAGTTGTGTACCAGGACCAAACACACCATGATGTTCATGTACGCCGGTCTGTTATCCCTTTAACTTCCAAATTTGCTTGACTCCAGGCGACGGATCTTAAAATCCTGTTACATTCTTTTGCTTCTTCACTTCAAGGAAATCGAAGTAAGGTGACAGAAAGTGATTATTCACATTAACTCATAATTCATACTTGTCGACCGTATCCGTGATCAAACCAACGACCGGCTGGCAGTTTTGATAAAGCAAAACCATTGTCTATCTCCCGTCTTACCTAAATCCATTTATATTCATTGTACAGCAGTGAGGTTCCATGTATGTGTTCCTTCATGTCATTATTGTTGCGGTTGCCTCCGCTGCTGTCAAGGTCCACTCACTAAAGTACATTACCATTTTAGCCGGTCGTATAGTGGATGCACGCTTGTCCACTATATGTTATTTGCTGGCTATCTTCGTATGCAAATTTTAAGTACACGCTAATTATATCTCAGCTTTTTGGTCAAAATAACTATAGGGCAAGTGTCATCATTACTGTTACTACAAGGGATCTGGTTTACTAGACAAATGCACCATTTGGATTATGAGTGGAATTCTGCATTATTCTCTCAACATTTGCTTTTTATAGTTTATCCGCCTAATTAGTTTTCTAAACATATTCTACTTGCTTAGACTTACGCTGTTCAATCTGGAGCTTGGAATTTTTACTTTTGGGACTATTTCAATGGTAGCTCTTATTCACACTGGGCTGGTGAGATTTTGGCAATGCTCTCCTGGACTCCCTACTGTTCCCTAAAAGTACTTTAGCTAGGTTGACTTCTAAACAAATTTATTTCCCATACTTTTTAGCCTTTATGACATTTAATTAAAGGGTATCGGTAGATTTCTAAAATTTGTGAATTTTCATCACATTATTCAAAAACTGTGACCAATATTTTTACTTCATTTAAACTGGTTGCGTCAATTATCCTTAATTCAATGAAATTACTGGTATCTCTAAAGTTGAAGTTACAATTCCCCAGTTGCGTACAGTTAATTTTTGAATTGACTTAATTCTAAAACCGGGTACATACCTTTTTTTGATTTTTTTTATCCCAAACCCGATAATATTTATATGACCGCAAAATGTGGCAATAACATTTGGGCCACAACATTGAAAATTGCACGGATACAGCTATCTAACTTCTCCATTCGTACATCTTAACGACCGGTTCCCGTCTGTTCTTCATTTCTACTGGTCACTGACCAAAGATAACATCTGTGGTTTAAAGCAACCGAAACTCCGTCGAAAAACAATTGTGGGCAGCGTTTAGTAAATTACATTCCGTCACTCAAGCAACAAGCTTAACTGCAACACATAATGAAGACAGACAGAATTTTTCCTGGATTCCCAGATTTTCACCTGTAGACATCTGTAATCAGCCGTCATGATCTTTCCGCTTCAAATGGTCTGATTAATTTTCACTCTGTTACCACTAGTCACCACTAGACTACTGGAATAGAATTGTGGTTTAGAGTGTGGAGGACCGTGGTGTTCCGCCTTAAATTACTACCTTGCTTGAAAACACTTCATCGTCTTTGATAGTATCGTCAGCTACCTCCCCTATGATCTACTGACTTGTTCCACCATACGTTATGTAGGAGAGTTTGCAGGGAGTTCACATTTTAGGCAGAGCGCTCATTCTTGACTCGCGTGAGTTGACTTCGTGTTAGTCATAGTTACAAAAAAAGTCTGAAGATCCTCGATTCGTGTTTATGTAGGGCATTTGAATTTCTGTACCATTAATTCCCTCTTTTTTTTTCATACATCAACTTTCAGAAAATTATTTTAGAAAATTTTAAATATTTGTTTTAATCCTGCATCTTTTGTGAACCACAACTTGCTTCAATGTTCACGCAGTTACTTTAAAGAGCCATGTTTGTCTATTCACACAAATCGATTGCATTCCTTTGGATTATCAATATACACATAAGTATTATGGGACTGCTGTAGAGCATCTCCGGGGATGCGATTTGACACTTTGAAAACAAATGTAACGAGTGTGTATATTCTCGCTGTAAGTAGTGAAAATACACGTTCGTTATTCGGCAAAATGATCAACCTAATATTATTTCACCCCAGTGATACTAATGTTTCGGAAAAACTGCCACGAGAAACTTGGTTGTATCCGAGACTCAAAGAAAAACGTCGATCAAACTGATGGCTACAAACCATACTATCGAAATCGTAGTGGTGCTGTCATCGCTTAAATAAAACCTCGTTAGTCTTACTCAATGCGTAATATGTTTAACAATACCGCTGTAGGACGTTTTTGGAAGTTAAAATTCCTTTCGATTGACCCTGTTGAACTCTGCCGTTTGACCCCA